GTATTTCAGTCCGTCTGCCTGTTCTGTTCCCCACTCTGTATCTGGTGGATCCTCTCAACCCCCTGCATCTCTGGCCTGTGCCCCAGCTCTTGTATGCATAAATAAATAAATCTGGGGCCTCCCTGGTGGCGCAGGGGTTAAGCACAGCACTAGGGGGCAATCTGCAGCCACTGCATCATGAGTTCAATCCCCAGCCAGGAAGCAACCCACATGGTGCAGCAGACCTCTCCTGTCTTGCCCGCTGCAGCATTATTTCAATCCGTCTGCCTGTTCTGTTCCCTGCTCTGTCTCTGGTGAATCCTCTCACCCCCCACATCTCTGGCTTGTACCTCAGCTCTTGTATGCAAAAATAAACAAATCTTTAAAAAAATAAACAAATAAATAAATAAATCTTTAAAAAAAAAAACCTTTCAGTACCTGATACGTATGCAAATTGTAAATTTTGATTTTTGTCCTGTAATAGTATATTCAATGGTTTGATAGCTGCAGAAATTGTTTCTGAAATTGTTTTTAGAAAAACACCTCAACTGATTCCAATTGATGGAAATTTTGACAGTGAAAATTTCATGCAAAGGACTGAATAGACTGTTGGAGATAAATCTGATTCTTGGTAAGTTTTGTTTCAAATAATACTAGTGATTTTTTTACTTGTATTAGAATATCATCAGATTACACATCTTGGGAAAAATGGCCCTAGAAAAACTCATCCAAGAGCATTTTTAGATCAACCTGCAAGAGCCTGCAGTTTGCAGGTCAGTTAGTGAACCTCATGTAGTCTGTGTTAAGAATAATGCTAAACAGGCTCCCAGCCCCCACCTGGAATACAAAGGAAGGGAACAGCTCCCTCCCAAGACTTAGAAGTGGACTTTACTGGCATCCCTCTGAGCAGGGGAGCAAGCCTCTCCTGGTATCAGCGAGTACTTACTCTGGATGGGCAGAAGCTCATCCCACCCGAAGGGAAAGGGCCGGCAGGAGGCTAATGCACTTTTAAGAGAAATCACCCCGAGATCTGGGCTTCCCCTGACAATACACAGTGACCATGGCCTGGCTTTTGTGGCAGACGTCATCCAGTCAGTAGCTAAAGCTCTTAATGTATCCTGGAAGTTACAGACAGCACACCGGCCTCAGAGTCCAGGGTAAGCTGAGCAAATGAAAAGTACTATTAAAAGTCCTTTAGCTAAATTTGTGCAGGAGACACGTGTGCCATGGCCGGACTTGCTTCCTCAGGCCCTCCTCAGAATACGTATCCCTGGAAGCCAGGTTTTTCTCCTGTTCAGTTATTATATGCAGGACCTCCACCTTGTTTGGGGAGTGTCCCTGGAGAATGGCATCACTCAGGGGCTAAAAATCTGACAGTACAGCTCCAGGCTACAGGCACTACACTTTTGAGCTTCAAGGATACTCCTTAGAGAGACCACCCATCCCCCTTGGTCCCAGATACATCCCTACCAGCCAGGTGATGTGCTGTCTGGGTAAAAGTTTGGAAAAATGAACCTCTCAACCCCCTATGGGTTGGCCCCTCCACTGTTATTTTAACTACCCCTCCTGATTTAAGGGTCTCAGGCTTCACCCCTGGGTACACACTGCAGAGTTAAATGAGCCTGCAATCCAGAAGAGGAAGGCGCTTTAGCTAGTGGGTGGAGAGCAGTCCCTGAACAGGATCATCCTCTCCGCCGAGACTGTGAAAGGGTCAGCCCACCCAGCCGGCTCCAGACAGCAGCCCTGCTCCTACCACAACCGGGAAACTGGTCAGTCTATGCTTGAGGACAGAAGCTTGAGGACCCTCCACGTGTGTGACTTCTGGTTTACTATTCCAACTGGTCTCCTGGTAGCCCTCCTGGCAGTTGGTCTGGCCACAGTGGCCCCTCATAGCTGGGGCTGGAAGGCCAGACTCCTTGCCTTAGGCTTCCTGACACTGTGTGGTGGCATAATTGTTCCAAGTGCCTTGTAAGATGACCTTGTTTGTCAATGTTCAACTATACCTGCTCCTCACCACCCCCACCTCCTGTATCAGGGGCTTATCTTCTGAACTCTGAATGACTGTGACCTGAAGATGGGAATTCCTGATCCTTCCATGGAACACCCCAGCTGTCCCAGAGAGCATTGTTCCAGCCACTCCTGGATTTCAGGGCTTCCTGAGCCCTAGTGCAAATCCTGCCATGTATGAGGGGCACTGAGCTGTGTGTTTTTCAGGCCGGGTATGCTTTGTGGGCAGCTCAGCACTCAGCCATTCTCAACATTCCCATGTGAAGTAGAGCTGGGGACACCGGGTACAAGAGTGAACTTGTTGTTGGGTAATCATATCTGGAGGTGTCTGGTTTGACCTGGGCTGCAGGAAACCAGGCCTGAGGAGCTGTAGCTCAACATTTGCTTGGACACTGACTCCTTGGCTGGCTGTTTCACTGCCCTGAGCCTCACTTTGCTCACCTGTCAAATGGGCCATCTTAGGGAAGCCTAGAGGTAAAAATTCAGCAAAAGCTCATAGATAGCTTTAAACATTTTATATAATGATTGCTTCTATTTGTAATGGACAATAAACACTGGAGGACATTCTGACAGATTCACCAGGAGCTGGAAGTGCTGCCCCATAGAAGGGATGATGTCAGGAATTTGAGCTTCCACGGGGGATCCTACCTCTCCATGTGTAGAGAATTTATTCTGGAAGAGGGGATTTGGTTTTTACCTCCTGACACCAGCTCTCTGGGGCACCAGCTGGGTGTCCTACAACTCAGTTCAATACTGACATGAACTCCCCAGACTCAGCACAGGACCCAGGGGTTCAAGGGCTTAGTTCTGTACACAGGACCACTCCCCACTTCACATGGCAGTTGCCAGTGAGGTGCCCTGATTATCCACCCTGTTTGCTCATCCTGCAGATAAATTCCAAAGTCCTCACAACCCCACAAATGCTTTCAGGTTTGATAGTTTCCTAGACTGACCCTCAGGCCTCAGGAGCAGTCTCCTTGGTGGTTTAGGATACAAATTTTTGGCTCAGGACCCACCAAGGGATGCAGCACAGGGTGAGGCTTGGAGAGTGCAGAAGCTTATGAGCCCTGTCCAGGTGCACCATTCTAGTACCTCCCTGTTTCACCAACAAGGAAACTTCAGCCTGAAAAGGCTTTTTATTGTTAGGTTTCATTGCATGGGCAGGACTGATGAAATCCTTGGCTTTAGTAAGAGCCTATTCTCACTCAGCCCCTCTCCCTGGAAGCCTTAGATAAAACTGTGCACTGAACAGCAGTAGCTTCTCGACCTTTTGTTAAATATACTTGAGTCTATGAAATTCCGGCCTCTGTCTTCTTTGACAAGAATAAACACACCCACATTATCATCTTCCAAGATCTAGAAATAGTCTCTAGGGCAAAGTACGGTGTTATCAACAAAGATTTAGCAAAAAAAAAAAAAAAAACCCAAGCCACCTGTCTTAGGGCAGCCTGCAGGCCTAGTCCTCCCCAGGGACACAATCTACTGTGTCATTGACAATAGGACACACCCTCTCACTGAGGAGTCTCTTGACTATTGGCTGCATTCTACTCTCAATTTAATGTTGGATGATTTTACTCCTAATTTGTATTTGAATGTTAACTTACTTCCTTATTTGTGTAACAAGCTCTTCCAGAAGGAGACTGGTTTCTGCCTTACATGCGGAAAGGACCCATCCTCAAACTCTTAGACCCTCCCCCTGGAAGGCAACCTTTGTCTTTCTGGTCGCCAAGCTTCCCCTGAAGTTTCCTAGGGCCCAGCCCAGTCATCCTTTAGTATAAAAGGACCCTCTGAGCACTCCTGAGATTCCCAGGGTTGTAGCAGCTGAGGTCACAAACCAAATATTTTTATGTATTACATCAAAAGGAGGCTCCTGGGATTTTGGGTCAACAAAATGAGCAGACCACCCAAGGGGTGGGCAAAAATATTAGCAAATTATATACCAGGTAAGGAGTTCATGTCCAAAACGTATAAAGAATAAAAATCCGTAATCCAATTAATAACAGACTTGAACAGACATTTTCGAAAAGCAGATATGCAGATGAACAAGTTAACAAAAAGGTCCTCAGTATCACTCATCATCAAGTAAATGCAAATCGAGAGGCAAATTGGGAGACCCTGTCACACTCCTCTGCAAGATTATGAACAAAAGTCAAGAGGTAAGCCATGGCGAGCTGCGGGGAGGAGGAAACGGGGTGGGGAACTCCCTAAGCAGCAGCCAGTGCAGGAGACGTCCCTGCCCAGGAATGTGGTTCTGGGTTCCATGGCTCTGTCTCCCAGTGCTTGTGTCTCCAAGAAAGGGCAGGAGTCACCATGAAGACATTAAAGGCCCCTCCCCAACCTCTCCTTTTGCTCACGGGAAAGGCACATCCAGACAGACACTGCTGGACAGACCTCCTGATCTGGGATCCAGGAAATGTACACCCTGTCCTGGGTCTATCTCCGACTCCCCATGTGAGTCTCCACACCCCTCTGAGCCTTAGGTCTCCCTGTGGAATGAAGAGCCTCCGCCCCCCTGGGCTGCAGGTCTTGTGTCCTGGTCTTGTGTCCTGAGCACCTGCTGGGTGTTAGATCTGTGCCGAGTGTTTACCGTGGGTCTCTTCACCCTCACACAGTCTACAGCACAGGCTCCTGCTCTCCCATGTCACAGATGGGGACCCCGAGACGGAGTAGGGAAAGGATAGAGCCAGGAGGACAGGCCAGTGTCTTCCTAGGAGCTGACAGGACACCTACCCTCTCCCTCCCAGGGCCCCTCTGAAAGTCAGCTTCCTCCTCTCTGGGCTCCAAGCACCCCTCCCGGGTAGGTGAGAGCACATGGGGTGCTGGGAATGCACCTGTCAGGTGAAGGGTCCTGTAAGCTCTGCCTCCTCTCGTCCCGGATCCACTCTTGAATAGACTGGGCCCCAGTCACTGACTAGAAGAAAGTCTAGGAAGGTTCAGGGGTGGGGCCCGAGGGGGCAGAGGTGGTGGGGGGAGCAGAAGATTGACAACAGGCAGAGGGCACTTTGTTTACTCACCAGTCCCATAAGGTGAGTTGTTCTGGATCCATGAGTAACTCTGGAGTTGAGGTTGCAGAGCTTGAGGACTGCAGCTCCCTGCAGGGTGGGGGGGGGGGAATGAAGTGGGGTGAGGGATTGGGAGGTGAGGGACATCAGGCAGGCAGGGAAGTGGTCACCCTTGGCCCCACCCCGCCATCCCCCAAGGCAAGTCTCCATTGGGATCATTCCTCTCCTGGTAAGCTCCTACCCAGTACTCCCCTGGTGGCACAGGCAGTTGAGCACAGCACTGTGAAGCTGTCCACAGCCTCTGCAGCGCCGGTTTGATCCCAGCCGGCCAGCCAGCGAGGGTCCCACATGGCGCAGTGGGCCTCTCCTGTCTTGCCTGCTTCTCCCCTCAGCAGTGTATTTCTTCAGTCTGCCTGTTCTGTTGCCCGCTCTGTCTCTGGTGAATCCTCTCACACTCCCACGCATTTGGCCTGTACCCTGGGTCTTATATAAATAAATCTTTAAAAAAAATTGCAAAAAAAAAGAAAGAAGGAGTCCAGGGGTGTGGGAGAAATTGTTACAGAACACCAGCCTTAGTTTCCCTCAGCCAATAAAAGGAAACCACGTTTGAGGAAAAGGAAAGCCCACTCTGAAATCAGGAAACTTTAATAGGATGACTAATTGTTACCAAATATTAGGCTGTCTTAGATAATTGACCATTATGGGAAATGAGTTGCACCAAGAAAACCAGTTAACCCTGATGCTTTTCTTAAGGTGATCAAAGAAGTGCCCTCTGGGTATGAGACCAAGAGGGTCTCTATATGCTCATGAGAAAATATGTAATGATTTTCTTTGTTTGCTTCAATGCTTATGCTGAGTAATCTCACCGCTCCTGCTCCCCTTAATGTATAAATAAAGACCCTCTGACACTCTCAGCAGGAGATACTTGCACCAATATGAGTGTCTGTGTCTGCCTCATCCCTTTCCCCTCAGCCCTCAGTTTTCGCCCACGCCATTCTCTCCTTTCAGGGACTCCTGAAACGACATTCTGCTGGAGCTGGTCTCTAGCAATTAACCTTCTGTGTGTGCCTGCAGTGTAAGTGCCTTTTGAAGCTCACAGGTGAGGTGCTCAGTACACAGAAGGTTGGGCTGCTGCTGCTGGGCTGCTGCTGTTGCTGCTGCTGCTGCTGCTCCAGCATCCCCAGAGTGGGGTGAGGGGATGGGTGGAGGCTCCTCATGCCAAGGAGAGACCTGAGGCTCAGAGACATGTCCTCACTCACACAGGGAGGCGGAGACAGACCCAGGACACGGTGTGCATTTCCTGGGTCCCAGATCAGGACCGTGTTCACCCTGGGGTCTCTCTTCAACCTCACGCTGTCTGCAGCACAGGTTCTTGCTCTCCTCTTCCGCAGATGGGGAATCCGAGGCAGAGCAGGGAAGGGGGAGAGCCAGGAAGCCAGGCAGTGTCTCCCCAGGAGCTGACAGGACACCTATCCCGTCCCGCCCATGGCCACTCTGAATGTCAGCCTCCTCCTCTCTGGGCTCTGAGCACCCCTCCCGGGAAGGTGAGGGCACATGGGGTGCTGGGAATGTACCTGGCAGATGAAGGGCCTGTAAATGCTGCCTCCTCTGATCTGGGACCTCCCCTTGCATAGACCGGGCCCCAGTAACTGACTAGAAGAGGTTCTAGGGGGATTCAGGGGTGGGGCCCAGCGGGCAGAGGTGGTGGGGGGAGCAGATTGACAACAGGCAGAGGGCACTTTGTCTACTCACCAGTCGCATAAGGTAGGTTGTTGTGCATCCATGAGTCACTCTGGAGTAGAGGTAGCTGAGGTTGAGGATTGTAGCTCCCTGAGGGATAGAGAGGGATGGTGAGGTGGGGTGAGGGATTGGGAGGTGAGGGGCATTAGGCAGGCAGGGAAGTGGTCACCCTGGCCCCACCCCACCATCCCCCAAAGCAAGACTCCATTGGGTTCATTCATCTCCTGGTAATGATTGCCCAGTTTCACACCCCAGGAAACCTGCCAGTGGGTAGTGTTGGTGGAGGAAGGCAAAGGGAAGTGGTAGAAAAGCCATAGTAAGGAGGAGCCCAGGGGAGAGGGAGACACCACACAAGGTCAGGACACCTGGGATCAGGGGCATTGGGGGCATCATTCAGGATCTCTGGTGGGGTGGGAGTGATGGAGGACAAGAATAGTGAAACTGGAAAGGAGGCCTCCCAAGACTAAACCCTGACTCACACAAGGAGGTAGGGGTCGAGGGGAATAACATGATCATTAACCCAGCCTTAGAGGTCGGGACCCTTAGGCACCAGGCCTTATCACAAGGCATGAGACCCAGGCAGGACCAGATGCTATGGGGAGTGGAGCACAGGCCCTAGGGTAAAGAGATGGAGTTGAGCCCTGTCCTGGAATCTCTGATCCGCTCCTGGTTTTTCCTGTTACCCAACAGTAGCAAGAAGCTGGCCACTCCAAGGAGGAGTGACCCTTCCCAAAAAGAAAAGGTCTATATCAGTGCAGGCTCTGCACAGGCTCAGGGCAGCACCCCCACTGGCCCCCTGTGGCCATATAGGTGCTTCTTCTTACCAATTCTCTCTTCTGCAGGGCAGCAGCCTCCCTGCCTGGCCTTTATCTGCACCAGGACTTTGCTTCACTGACCTCCCTCAGCAGAGGCCATTCTCCCCAAGGTCACCTGCCTGGGACCATGCAGGCCTCTCAGCAAACCTGTCCCTTTCAGGGCAACTCTTCCTGCCCACTGGTGTCTATGTAAGTGTCTTTCACCCTTCTGTCCCTGTTGCTAATAAACCTGTTCTTTGAATATATCTAATGTCTCTACCTCATGGAGAAATTGGCCAAGAAACTCACTGCTTGCTGCTGACCGGGAAGCCCGAGTGAGATCTTTCCCAGATGAACCCAAGTGCCCCCTTGCTCTACAAAAATTCATCAGGAGGGGGAGGGTGGTGGGGTGACACCCACTGATCTGTGTCCTCTGAGTCTTTCCTCTCCTGGACCTGGACTCTGGGGTCCCAGCCTTGAGCTTGATGTTGACAGGAGTTGGGGTTTTCAGGGGGTTGAGCTCAGAGCATCCACCCCCAGGTATCCTCAGACCTGGCCTGGCCCTGGGGCACCAGGTAAGAAGAACAGGCAGGCCTCAAGCAGCCAGAGCAGGAAGTCACCCAGAGGAAAGCACACTGGGGTGTGGCCAGGGGAGTAGAAGGGTCAGGGCAGGCCTGCTAAGGGCAAAGATTCAGAGCAGGGCACCCCCATTAGCCACCTCCACACACAGGCCAGGGAGTGGAATCAGGGCGCTCACCATGCTAGGCAGGGATCACACAGGTGCACCCACCTTCAGAGGGGCGCCCTGCCCTTAACCTGCATGGAGAGTGTGGGCTTTCCAGGGAGGTAGGTTTGGGGTGCAATGAAGCTCTCAGAAGGAAACGACAACAGTCCCAGGGATCATTGTTTCAGCCACTCCTGGATTTCAAGGTTCCCGAGCACCGTTGCAAATCCTGCCATGCATGAGGGGCACTGAGCTGTGTGTGTTCCAGACATGGTGGGCTTTGCAGGCAGCTCAGCACTCAGCCAATCTCAACATTCCCTCCTGAAGCAGAGCTGGGGACACAAGGTGCAAGAGTGACACATGCCCACCCTTGCCTATTGGGGAATCCTTGCTGGAGGTGTCTGGCTTGACCTGGGCTGGAGGAAGCCAGGCCTGAGGAGCTGCAGCTCAAACTCACTTTGACACGGATTCCTTGGGTGGCTGATTCATTGCCCTGAGGTTCCCTTTGGTCACATGCCAAACAGGTCATCTTAGGTGAGCCAAAAGGTAAAAAATTCAGCAAAAGCTCATAGAAAGCTTTAAGCATTTTACATGATTACGTCTATTTCTAATGGACAATATGCATTGCAGGACATTCCGACAGTCATATTCACCAGGAGCTGAAAGGACTCCCCTAAAGGAGGGATGTGTCAGGAATTTGAGCCTCCATGGGGAACGCTTCCTCTCCATGTGTAGAGAATTTATTCTGGAAGAGGGGTTTGGGATTTTACCTCCTGACACCAGGTCTCTGGGAAACCAGCTGGGTGTCCCACAACTCAGGTCAACACTGACATGAACTCCCCAGACTCAGCACAAGACCCAGGGTTTCCACAGTGATTCATCCTGTACTGCAGGACCGCTCCCCACCTCAGATGGCAGTTGCCAGTGAGATGCCCTGATTATCCACCCTGTTTGTTCATCCTACATTCAAATTCCAAAGTCCTCACAACCCCACAAATACTTTCAGGGTTGAGAGTTTCCCAGACTGACTCTCAGGCCTCAGGAACAGTCTCCATACTGGCTTAGGATACAGGTGTTTGGCTCAGGACCCGCAAAAGGATGCAGCACAGGCTGAGGGGTGGGAGGTGCAGGGGCTCCTGAGCCCTGTCCATGTGCGGTCCTTCCAGCACCTCTGTGTTTTACCAACCGAGAGACTCCAGCCTGAAAACCCTGCCTACATTTAGGTTACATTGTAGGCAGAACTGATGAAATCCTTGGCTTTAGTGGGGAGGCGAATCTCAGCCCCTCTCCCTGGAAGCCTTGGATCAAACCATGCACTGAGCAGCAATAGCTACAACCTTCTGTTAAATAGCCTCGAGTCTATCCAATTCCCTCCGCTCTTCTTTTTCTAGCCTCCCCTAATGTCAAGTGAGGAAAATATGAGGACTTGATGTCCTTTCTACCAAGGAAAGCTTGTAACCCTTCTCCTCCCCCCTCCACCTCATCCCCCCACCCCTGTCAACTTTGAAGAGAATAAACACAACCATGCTCCTTTCTTCAGGGGTCCAGCAACAGTCAAGTACAAAACAGTCATCTCAATATGGATTTAGCAAACAATCAGAAAAACAACACCCCAACCCACTTGTCTTAAGGCAGCCTGCAGGCCTAGTCCTCCCCAGGGACACAGTCTACTAGATCAATGACAACAGGACACACCCTCTCACTGAGGAGTCTCTTTTGGCTTCTGGCAGCCTCCCTGCCTGGCCTTTATCTGCACCTGCCAGGACTTTGCTTCACTGACCTCCCTCAGCAGAGGCCGTTCTCCCCAAGGTCACCTGCCTGGGACCATGCAGGCCTCTCAGCAAACCTGTCCCTTTCAGGGCAACTCTTCCTGCCCACTGGTGTCTATGCAAGTGTCTTTCACAGAAGTGTCTTTCTGTCCCTTTCGCTAATAAACCTGTTCTTTAAATATAGTGAATGTCTCTGCCTCATGGAGAAACTGGCCAGGAAATTCGCTGCATGCCACTGACCAGTAAGCCCTAGTGAGACCTTTCCCAGAGTGAACCCAAGTGCCCCCGTGCTCTACAAAAATACATCAGGAGGGTGAGGGAGGGTGGGGTGACACCCACTGATCTGTGTCCTCTGAGTCTTCCCTCTCCTGGACCTGGACTCTGGGGTCCCAGCCTTGAGATTGATGCTGACAGGATGTCACCCCCAGGTCTCCTCAGACCTGGCCTGGCCCTGGGGCACCAAGTAAGAAGAACAGGCAGGCCTCAAGCAGCCAGAGCAGGAAGTCACCCAGAGGAAAGCACATTGGGGTGTGGCCAGGGGAGCGGAGGGGTCAGGGCAGGTCTGCTAAGAGCAAAGATTCAGAGCAGGGCACACCCATCAGCCACCTCCACAGACAGGCCAGGTAGTGGAATCAGGGATCTCACCATGCTAGGCAGGGATCAAACAGGTGCAGGTACTTCAGAGGTGTCCCCGCCCCTAACCTCCATGTAGAGTAGGCTTTCCAGTGAGGTAGGTTTGGGGTGCATTGCAGCTCTCAGAAGGAAATGACAGCAGTCCCGGGGAGCATTGTTTCAGCCACTCCTGAATTTCAAGGTTTTTTGATCCTCATTGCAAATCCTGCCATGTATGAGGGGCACTGAGCTGTGTGTGTTCCAGGCCTGGTGGGCTTTGCAGGCAGCTCAGCACTCAGCCAAACTGAACATTCCCTCAGGAAGCAGAGCTGGGGACACCAGGTGCAAGAGTGACACCTGCTGACACTTGCCTGTTGGGGAATCTTTGCTAGAGCTGTCTGGTTTGACCTCAGCTGGAGGAATACAGGCCTGAGGAGCTGCAGCTCAGACCAGCTTGGAAACAGATTCCTTGGTTGGCTATTTCGTTGCCCCGAGCCTCACTTTGCTCACCCTTCAAATGGAACAGGGCTTGGGACCCATGAAATCCAAGTGGCTGGAATAGTTTTATCTTAGACTTCCAGGGTGTGGGGCTGATTTAGACTCTTATTAAAGCTAAGGATTTCATCAATCCTTCCTGTGCCATGGTACTTTAAAATTAGAAAGCATTTTCAGGCTGGTGTTTCCTTGTTGGTGAAACACGGAGGTGCAGGAAACTGAACAGCAATATCTGCAACCTTTATTTATATATACTCCATCTATCCAATTCCCTCCCTTCTCTTCTTTTTCCACCCTTGCCTACTTGTGCAGTGAAGAAAATATCAATACTTGGTGTCCTTTCTACCAAAATATGCTTTAAACCTCCTCTCAACTGTAACATAAATAAATAAACCCACAATATCATCTACTGAGATTCAGCAATGGTCTGTAGTGCAATGTACAATCATCTCAATAAATACTGAGCAATAAAGCAAACACAGGAACAAAAAAACAATAACCCAGGCCACCTTTCTTAAGGCAGCCTGCAGGCCTAGTCCTCCTCAGGGACACAAACTTCTATATCATTAACAGGACATACCCTCTCACTGAGGAGTCTCTTTTGGCTTTGGCTCCATTGGACTCTCATTTTAATATGGGTGATGTTAGTCCTAATTTGAATTTGAATGTTAACCTCACTACCTTGTTTGTATATTGAGTTCTTCCAGAAGGAGACTGGGTTCTGTCTTACATGAGGAAAGGACCCATCCTCAAACTCTTTGCCCCTCTCCCTGGAAGCCAACCTTTGTCTTTCTGGTCACCAGGCTCGCCCTGTACTTTCTTGGGCCCAGCCCAGTCATCCTTTAGCATTAAAGCACCCGCCTCACACTCCTGAGATTCCCAGGGTTTTAGTGGCTGAGGTCACAAACCAAGGATTTGTCCATTATCATAAGGGGGCTCCTGGGATTTTGGGTCCACAAATGGGAAGGCCACCCTTGGGGTGGGTAAAGATACTTGGAAATTATATACCAGACAGGAGTTCCTGTCCAAAATATATAAGAAATATAAATCAAAAATCCAACTAAAAATCAATAAATTGGATAGACATTTTCAAAAAGCAGGTATGCAAACGATCAAGATCACGAAAGGGTGCTCAGTATCACTAATTATCAGGTAAATGCAAATTAAAAGGCAAAATGAGAGACCATGTCACCCTTGTCTGCGAGATTATGACCAAAAGTCAAGAGGTAAGCAATGCTGAGCCAGCAGGGAAGAGGGAACGGGTGGGGATCTCTCAAAGCAACAGCTAGTGCAGGAGACATCCCTGCCCAGGAACGTGGATCTGGGTTCCATGGCTCTGTCTCCCAGGGCTTGTGTCCCCAAGAGAATGCAGGGGACACCTCAGAAGCCATGTAGGCTCCTCCCCAACCTCTCCTGGGAAAAGGACCCCCAGACAGACACTGCTGGACAAACCTCCTGATCAGGGACCCAGGAAATGGACAACCCTGTCCTGGTTCTCTTCCTGCATCCCTGAGCACTGAGCCTCAGCTCTCCCTTGTGGCATGAAGACCTCCACCTCCTGGGGCTGCTGGGAGTAACAACAGCAACACAGCAGTAGCAGCTGTGCTCCTGTGTACTGAGCACCTACTAGGTGTTACATCTGTGTGGAGTGTTTACCCTGGATTCTCTCTGTCACCCTCACAAAGTCCACAGAGGCAGGCTCTTGCTGTCCCATTTCACAGATGGGGACCCTGAGGTGGAGCATCGAAGCGGTAGAGCCAGGAGCCCAGGCAGTGTCTGCTTGGGAGCTGGGCGCGAAATGCAACCCCTCCCTTCCAGGGCCTTTCTGAATGTCAGCCTCCTCCTCTGGCTCTGAGCACCCCTCCCGGGCAGGTGAGGGCACATGGCGTGCTGGGAATGCAGTTGGCAGATGAGGAGTCCTGTAAGAGCTGCCTCCTCTGGTCTGGGAACCTCCCTTGGATAGAGGGGCCCCTGTCAGTGACTATAAGAAGGTTTAGAAGGGTTCAGGGTGGGCCCAAGGGGGAGAGGTGGTGGGAGAGCAGAAGAGGACAACAGGCAGAGGGCACTTTGTCTACTCACTTGATTTAGGCACCATAGCTTTTGGGGCATTAGCCAACCATTGCCACTGTAACTTCTTTCGACCCTTCATCTGAGAATTGTGTCTTGGAGGCCGGTGACCAGAATCGAAGTCTTCATCACTCTTTTGTGGCTCATTCTTCGTTATTTGCTTAGCTTCTTGTTGGGTTCTCACTGGGAGAGGAGGGGGTGGAGGGGAGCAAGATCAGGCAGGCAGGGAACAGTGCACCCCTTGACCCCATTCCCCTCCTGCTAAGCTCCTACCCAGCACTCACTAAGAGCCAGCTTTTCACACCCCAGAACCTGCCAGCAGGTGGTGCTGGGGAAGGAGGGAGAGGGGGAGTGGTAGAAAAGCCCTAGGAAGGAGGAGCCCAGGGGAGTGTGAGACACTGGACAAGGCCAGGAGATCTGGAGTTTGGGGGAGAGGGGGGCTTCATTCAGGATGCCTGATGGGATGGCAGGGTCGGGATGGGAGTGACACCCACTGATCTGTGTCCTTTGAGTCTTCCCTCTCCTGAACTCTGGGGTCCCAGCCTTGAGCTTGATGCTGACAAGAGGTGGGGGTTTCAGGTGTTTGAATGCAGGGCATCCTCCCACAGGTCTCCTCAGACCTCACCTGGCCCTGGGACACCAACTGAGAAGAACAGGCCTCAGGCAGCCAGAGTGGTAGTCAACCAGTGGAAAGCACGCAGGGGTGTGGCTGAGAGTGGAGGGGACAGGGCAGGCCTGCTAAGGGCAAAGACTTGGTCAGGCACCCCCATCAGCCACCTCCACGCACAGGTCAGGGAGTGGAATCAGGGTGCTCACCATGCTGAGCAGGGATCACACAGGTGCAGGCACCTTCAGAGGGATGCCCTGCCCCTAATCTGCATGGAAAGTGTGGGCTTTCCTGGGAGGTAGGTTTGGGGTGCAATGCAGCTCTCAGAAGGAAAGGACAGAAGTCCCAGGGAGCATTGTTTCAGCCACTCCTAGATTTTAGGGTTCCCGAGCCCCATTGCAAATCCTGCCATGTATGAGGGGCACTGAGCTGTGTGTGTTCCAGACATGGTGGGCTTTGCAGGCAGCTCAGCACTCAGCCAATCTCAACATTCCCTCCTGAATCAGAGCTGGGGACCCCAGGTAGAAGAGTGATACCCGCAGACCCTTGCCTGTTGGGGAATATTTCTGGAGGTGTCTGGCTTGACCTGGGCTGGAGGAAGCCAGGCCTGAGTAGCTTTAGCTCAGACTTGCTTGGACACAGATTCTTTGGGTGGCTGATTCATTGCCCTGAGCTTCCCTTTGCTCACCTGCCGAACAGGTTATCTCCGGTAAGCCAAGAGGTAAAAATTCAGTAAAAGCTCATAGAAACCTTTAAACATTTTGCATGATTACTTCTATTTTTAATGGACAATACGCACTGCAGGACATTCTGAGAGTCAGATTGACCAGGAGCTGAAAGGGTTTCCATAAAGGAGGGATGTGTCAGGAATTAGAGCCTCCATGGGGAACACTTCCTCTTCATGTGTAGAGAATTTATTCTGGAAGAGGGGTTTGGGTTTTTATCTCCTGACACCAGCTCTCTGGGACACCTGCTGGGTGTCCTATAACTCAGGTCAACACTGACATGAACTCCCCAGACTCAGCATAAGACCTAGGATTTCAACAGGGCTTCATCCTGTACTGCAGGACCGCTCCCCACCTCAGATGGCAGTTGCCAATGAGGTGCCCTGATTATCCACCCTGTTTGTTCATCCTACATTCAAATTCCAAAGTACTCGCAGCCCCACAAATGCTTTCAGGGTTGATAGTTTCCTAGACTGACTCTCAGGCCTCAGGAACAGTCTCCTTACTGGCTTAGGACACAGGTGTTTGGTTCAGAATCCGCAAAAGGTGTAGCACAGGCTGAGGGGTGGGAGATGCAAGAACTCCTGAGCCCTGTCCATGTGCGGTCCTTCCAGCACCTCCCTGTTTCCCCAACAAGGACACTCCAGCCCGAAAACCCTTTCTACATTTAGGTTACATTGTAGCCAGAACTGACGAAATCCTTGGCTTTAGTGGCGATGCAAATCTCAGCCCCTCTCCATGGAAGCCTTGGATCAAACCATGCACTGAGCAGCAATAGCTACAACCTTTTGTTAAATAACCTCCAGTCTATCCAATTCCCTCCGCTCTTCTTTTTCTAACCTCCCCTAAGTGTCAAGTGAGGAAAATATGATTACTTGATGTCCTTCTACCAAGGAAAGCTTGTAACCCTCCCCCTTCCCCCACCCCCTCACCTCTCACCCCTGTCAACTTTGAAGTAATAAACACAACCAGGCTCCTATCTTCAGGGGTCCAATAATAGTCTAGTACAAAGTACAGTCATCTCAATGTAGATTTAGCAAACAAACAAAGAAACAGAAAAACAACACCCCAACCCACTTGTCTTAAGGCAGCCTGTAGGCCTAGTCCTCCCCAGGGACACAGTCTACTATATCATCGACAACAGGACACACCCTCTCACTGAGGAGTCTCTTTTGGCTTCTGGCTGCACTGGACTCTCATTTAACGTTGGATGGGATTATTCCTGATTTGAGTTTGAATTTAACCTTACTTCCTTATTTGTATACCGAGTTCTTCCAGAGGAGACTGGTTTCTGCCTTATATATGGAAAGGACCCATCCTCAAACTCATAGCCCCTCTGGCTGAAGCCAACCTACGTCTTTCTTGTCACCAGGCTTGCCCTGTAGTTTCCTAGGGCCCAGCCCAGTCACCGGTTAGCTTCAAAGGACCCTCTAAGCATGCCAGCGGTTCTGGGGATTTTAGTGGCCGAGAACCCAAATCCAATGTTTTGTGTATCACATCATCAGGGGGCTCCTCAGGCTTTGGGTCAACAAAATGAGAAGGCCACCCATGGAGTGGGCAAAAATATTTTCCAATTATATGCAAGATAAGGAGTTCATGTCCAAAATGTATATAAAATCTAACTCAATAATCTCATTAAAAATCAGTAACAGACTCGAATACACATTTTCGACAAGCAGATATGCAAATGACCAAGTACAGGAAAAGGTGCTCATTATCTCTAATTATCAGATAAATGCAAATTAAAAAGCAAAATGGGAGCCCCTTTCACACTTGTCTGCAAGATTATGAACAAAGGTCAAGAGGTAAGCAGTGGTGAGCAGCACGGAGGAGGGATCGTGGTGGGGGTCTCCCCAAGCAGCAGCTGGTGCAGGAGACCTCCCTGCCCAGGAATGTGGTTCTGGGTTCCATGGCTCTGTCTCCTAGTGTTTGTGTCTCCAAGACAGCGCAGGGGACATCCCGGAAGTCATTGCTGGCCCCTCCCCCAACACCTCCTGTTGCTCATGGGAAAACCAGCCCCAGACAGACACTGCTGGACAAACTTATGATCTGGGCCCAGGAAATACACACCCTGTCCTGGGTTTGTCTCTGCCTCCTGGTGTGAGTCTCTACCCACTCTGAGCCTCAGGTCTCCCCATGGCATGAAGAGCCTCCACCCCCCAGGGCTGCTAGAGCAACAGTAGCAGCAACAACAGCAGCAGCAGCAGCATCTGGACTCCTGTGTCCTGAGCACCTGCTGGGTGTTAGATCTGTGCCCAGTGTTTACCGTGGGTTCTCTCATCCACAGTGTCCACAGTGCAGGCATTTGCTCTCCCATGTCACAGATGGGGACCCTGAGGTGGAGCAGGAAAGGGGTAGAGCCAGGAGGCCAGGCTAGTGTCCTTTTGGGAGCTGGACGGGACACCTACCCCCTCCCTCCCAGAGCCCTTCTGAATGTCAGCCTTGTCCTCTCTGGGCTCTGAGCACCCCTCCCGGGCAGGTGAGGTCACATGGGGTGCTGGGAATGACCTGGCAGATGAAGAGTTCTGTAAGAACTGAGTCCTGTGGTCCGGATTCCCCATTGCATAGACTGGGCCTAAGTCACTAACCTGAAGAATGCTTAGGAGGATTCTGGGGTGGGGCCCAAAGGTGCTAGGTGGTAGGGAGAGCAGAAGATTGACATTAGGCAGAGTGCACTTTGTCTACTCACTTAAACAGGAACTTACCAACTAGGCCTGACCTTTCCAATGTTTTCAGATAGTTACGTCCCTTCTTTTCATCTTTTTTCTTCTTTTCTTTTGATGGAGGAAAAAAAAAACAAAAACAAAAACACTAAGCAAATCGTTGTAGTAACAGTCCCCATCAGATAATCATTTCAATCCAGGTGTAATTAGCATTCCAGTGTAGGTGCAATGAGCAAGTTTGCACACTTGCAAATCTTCCCTGTGAAGGATCCATGGCCAGGTCTCTACACCCCTCTCCAGACAAAGCTGCATTCCAGAAGGAAAGGAGAGAGAGAGGAAGACAGGCTGGGTTTCTTTGAATAATCTCTGGGTGGTGGCATCCCTCTCACCCACTTCCTATACTCTGCTTTTTAGGGTGAAATGGCCTTGCCTCCCACCAAATGGTTTTGCCCCTTTTAAACCAATCTGTCACTCTTCCTGTGTAACAAATGTTGAGACAATTGTGTATAAAAAGGAATCTCTGGGCCTCCCCGGTGGCGCAGTGGTTGAGCGCTGGGTTGCGAAGCTGCCTGCGGCCTCTGCAGCGCCGGTTCGATCCCCGGCTGCTCCCCGGCCACCGGAGGAGGGTCCCGCATGGCGCGCAGACCTCTCCTGCCGCCCGCTGCTCCCCTCAGCAGTGTACTTCGGTCCTTCTGCCTGCTCTGCTCCCCGCTCTGGCTCTGGTGAATTCTCTCGCCCTCCCGCGCTTCTGACTGTACCCAGTGCTTGTATAAATAAATAAAAATAAATCTTTAAAAAAAAAAATAAAAAGGAATCTCTGCGTTAGCTCAAGGCCCAGACTTTTATTTAGGAGTGTTTTCCTGTGTCTGCGTCCACATGTGAGAAAATATAAATTTCCCAACTCACCTGCCCTAGAGTACAGTTTGTTTTTTCCTGTCAGCTTCCGCAACAAATTAGTGGGTTGTTCAGGAAAACCAGGCACTTCGCCCTTTGATGCCACTTGGGCCTAGGAGGAGGGCTGGTGGAGGTGGTGAGAGGAACTAAAGAAGGGGAAATCGGGCTCTGCTGGGAACTCTGGGGGTCTCCGACTTGGTTGCTTTTACCCAGACCCGCAACCTTGTCCAGGCCAGACTTAAAAGTGCTGAATGAGACCAGGACCTGGCACCGACGTCAGACAAGGTATGGTCCCGGTACCCTGTACCAACTCAGGCTACCCCGTAGGGGTAAGAGGAGAGACTGATCACCTTTCAAGAGATTTAGGGTCTCCCAGGCAGGGAACTCCCTAAAGAGGGAGGGAGTTGTTGCAACCTCTGGTGTGGAGGTGTGAGTGAATGATCTGGTCCTCCAACCAGGTGTGTTTGTGTGACCCCACAGCTGGGGAGCCCATAAGGGCCCCAAAAAGCTATGGAGCGCAAATGGGCCAGTCTGAGATACTGCTGTGAACATGATACAGTTACAAATGACTGGTCTCTTAGAGAGGCATTAACAAGTTTGTCTTTTCCCCATTTCTTGCAATTTCCCCCTTGATTGACAGGTTTGTCTTTAGGTAACAAGTCCTCCTGCATTTCAAGAAAGAGGGTGTTGAAGTAAGCTGGCGCCCTCCTGCTGACCCCTTCCCCCTTCCCTTAAGAAGAAAAATGATGACTGGATCAAGGGATATGGTACATATACACAATGGAATATTACTCAACAATCAAAAAGATAAACTCATGCCATTTTCAGCAACGTGGATGGAGTTGCAAGGGATCATGTTCAGCGAAATAAGCCAGAAAGAAAAAAAAATACTGGATGGTCTCACTTATAGCAGGAACAGATGAATGTATGGAGAAACTGTGGAATATATATTCAATGGAATATTACACAGCTATGAAAGGATGAAACAGTGACATTTAGGACAAAATGGATGGACCTTAAGGTGACTATGTTGAGTGAATTAGTCAAAAGACAGTGAAAGATGGATTCTCTCATCTGTGGAATATAAATACCCAAAAAACAATTTGATGCAAACAAAAGAAGAAATAAAAATTTGAGCTTTGCAAGGAGAAGATCATGGTTACCAGAGAGAATAAAGGAATGGGTGGAAGAGGTGGGGGTAGGAGGCAAAAGTTGTATGGACATGGGTGGTTTGGTGGAGGGAAAAAAAGAGAATTCATTAAAATAATTTTTAAAAGTGTTGTTAGCACATCATTGCTTTTATAGTACACTGTACTTGTTTGAATATTTACATTTGGGCCTCCTTGGTGGAGCTAGGGGTTAAGCACAACACTGTGAAGCTATCTGCACCCTCTGTAACACGAGTTCGATCCCTGGCCAGCCAGGGAGCTACCCACATGGCACAGCAGACCTCTCCTGTCTTGCCTGCTGCCCCCCTCAGCAGTGTATTTTTGGTCAGTCTGCCTGTTCTTTTCCCTGCTCTGTCTCTGGTGGATGTTCTCACTCCCCGCACCTCTGGCCTGTACCCCAGTACTTGCGTGCATAAAGAAATAAATCTTTAAAAAAAAATTTACATTTGGCGCTAAAAAAAGAAAAAGAAAAAGAAAATGAGCTGACATCCACCTGTCTCAAAGCTGACCCCTTCGCAGACACTCGCCCATCTCCCCCTCGGTTAAATACCCCTGCACTCTGCCAAAGAGCCGGAAGGTTGTCTTTCAAAGATGAGTGATTTGTCGACAAATTAAATCACTTTCCTTTTCCTGAAACTCTGTTTCCTTTTATTGGCTGATGGAAACTGATTCCAGCATTTGGTAACAACTCCACACCCTTAACTCCAAAAAACGACATCAACATCTTGTCCTGACAGAGTTTCGCCCGGCAACCATAGCAGCCACTGCTTTTCTGCTCTAATAAAACCTCTTTTACTGCAGATCCACTGCTCATCGTTTCCTTTCAACTCTGAACCTTTCCATTCCGTGGTGAAACCCCAGAGAGGAGCAGGGCCATGGGCCCCATCCTCAGATGTGGAGACTCTATCTCCTTTTCTCACCTTCTTTCTCTATACTTTGGGGCTCTGGTCACGGAAGACCCTTGCTGGTGCCAACAACCACATCCATGACCAATTGGGTGAGTGGCCTCTGGGACACTCCTCTGCCCTTTGGACAGGGGATGTAAGAAAAGGGCTGGGGCAAGGTTGGGGCAGGAAAGGGGAACTTGAAACTGTTGCCACCCCCATTCTGGGAGTTAGCCAGTTTGCATTGGGTCTGATAAGCATCCCTGAAACACAATTTTCCGAAAAAAAAAAAAAAACAAAAAAAAAAACGACTTCGGCTCTGCATTCTCAATTCCTGCCAAAGCCAGACCCAGCCTGATAAAAACTTACCCTTATCCCCCAACGGGTGCAACTTCTGTGACCCCCATGGAGGTAGGCAAACCTCGCCCGGGAGCGCAATAAAGTTCCTGCCTGTCAGACACTGGCCTGGCTCTCCTTCGGATCCTTTCTTGCTCTCACGGAAAAGACCAGGCCAGGGCCATGACTTGGCGGGATCCGCGTCTCCGCACCCACATTTTGATCTCGCCCACTGTGGTTTGGTGTTTGTCTCAGGGATGCCTGATTCATCTCCAGACTCACGTTCCTTTTCCCCCAAGTAAACCAGAGGGACACGTCTTTCACCCGGTGGAACACGTTAATCCCTTTCCATGGGTAATAGATGGGGATGCACCTCTATCTCCCCGTGCAACACATTCCAGGGCAGTCTCACTGGGGGACACCTCAGGCGCCTGCTCCTGGCACATTTCTCTTCCCTTGCCTTTTGGCCTGGTCAACCCACATGTCCAATGGGAAATTCCAATTCAAAACCCTCCTCTGACTCCCCTTGGGTTGTCTCCTAAAATCCTTCCAGGCACAAGGCCTGCAGGGTAACCTCTATCCATGCCATCATATTGATACAGTTACATAGCTGCCCCTTCTTACCACCTCTCTTCTCTGCGGCAGCCTACCTGCCTGGCCTTGACCTCTACCTGCAGGGAGTTCTCTTCACTATCCTCCCTCAGCGGAGGCCCTGTCCTCAAGGTCTCCTGCCTGCAACCATGCAGGCCTCTTTCATTGTGCACCTGTCCCTTTCAGGGCAGCTCTTCCTGCCCGCTGGTGTCTATGTAAGTGTCTTTTACCCTTCTCTCCCTTTCCCTAATAAACCTGTTCTTTAATTATGTCTAACATTTCTCTCTCATGGAGAAATTGGCCAGGAAACTCGCCGCGTGCTGCTGAATGGTAAGCTCCTGTGAAACCATTCCTAAAGTGAACCTTTAACACGGTGGTCCTAAGCAAAGGAGGAGGTTCCTTTTTCCTTCCCCACCCAAAAGGAAGGTGGAGCTGAGCAGAGAGAGAAGAAGTTGCAGAGGAGACTGAGGAAGGAAGGAAGCAGGATGGAGAGCCAGAAGGAGACCTGGAGGAGACACATGGAGCCGAGAGACATGTGAAGAAACTATACTTGCCTTTTGGTTGTGGACTGGATGACACAGATTTGGGAGAGAGACCCGTGGGGAGGTGACAATGGCGGTTTTTGTCTTGATTTTGATTTTGCTCTTTTCCCTCCAGACATGTCCGGTTGTTTCTGATTCTTTTCTGTGGATCCCCACTGAAAGATGTTTTAGACCTGTGGCAGGCTTAGGGGCCTTGTTCTGGGCCAATCCCATTTGGATGGACTTTTACCCATGAGGGGACGGGTAACTCTGGCTACTTGATTTAGAAACTCTATTCTTTGCCTTTCCTTATTGTTTCCTGATTGTATGAAAGTTCCTTCCCATTAAAGCCTCATATGTTTTGTGTTGATGTGGTGGATGGCAGAACCTATTTAGAGCAGACAGGTTTACGGGGACTGGGGTACCCCTCTCCCTGCCCTGTAACAAAAAGGACCCCTTACTCTACAAAAATACATCAGGAGGGAGAGGGGGGTGGGGTGACACCCACTGATCTGTGTCCTCTAAGTCTTCCCTCTCCTGGACCTGCACTCTGGAGTCCCAGCCTTGAGCTTGATGCTGACAAAAGGTGGGGGTTTCTTTTTTTTTTTTTTTTTTTTTATAGAGGCATGCTTTATTTATTTATTTATTTGTTTGTTTGTTTTGTTTATACATGCACTGGGTACAGTCAGAAGCGCGGGAGGGTGAGAGAACTCACC